TGAAATGATGACTTATCACCAGCTTTTTTATTTGGTCTCCTCCAGATAAGCCCCTAACAGTCCAGCTGGTGGACTGGATCTTGCGAGGAACATCTCAGGTGATGTTTGTCAACAACCCTCTCAGTGGACTGATCATTTTAGTGGGGATCTTCATCCAGAGTCCCTGGTGGATGCTCACAGGCTGTACTGGAATGACTGTGTCAACATTAACCGCACTGGCCCTCAGTCAGGACAGGTAGGTGGTACTTCATGCCCAGGTACTTAATAAAAATTGATCATATGGTATCAGGAACCTGCTGATGGGTCATAACCCCACATTTGAGTATGTTAGAGCCAGCAGACCAGCTTTCCTCACAGATGGTTTGGAAGCAGGTGCAGACAGAGCTGTGGTCCAGGAAGAGCTGGCCTGTCCTCACAATTGGGTGTCTTTGTGAGAGCAGACAGTTATCTCTCTCCGGTAGCCATCGTCACAGTCGAAAGTGTAGGTCCTTTGGGTCATGGGAAACACCCTGGATCATCATCATTCAACAGTCTCCAAACTCCTGCCTTTCACACGCTGGTGCAGTGCAATATGGCAGTTACCTCATTGCTTTTTCATCCTTCCCCTATACTCCCTTCACTGGGAGCAGGACAGTTATAAATTGCGTTTCAGTGGGCCCCTGTGACAGGTCACCTTCAGCACAGCTTGCTACCTTGCAAACATTTCTTTCTGTCACAGATCAGCCATTGCAGCTGGGCTGCACGGCTATAACGGGATCTTGGTGGGACTGCTCATGGCCGTCTTCTCTGACAAAGGGGATTACTACTGGTGGCTTCTTCCTCCCGTGGCAGTTATATCGATGGCCTGGTAAGTGCCACTTCTCATCCCTGGGACAATTCTCAGAGAATGAGGAGTCCTGCTATGTACAGCTTAAACATATTGGAAGCCCCCTCCATACCAGCAGCTCCGGCCACAGTGGCACTGGAAAGAGGTGTTCACTGATGCACAGAGCTTGTGAGGCATGTTGGTCAGAGTGAATTGCACAGACAATGTTTATATGTGCAACGATTATAGCACATGGACAAAGGAGCCCCACTTCAACGTTCTGCAAGTGCCCCTCATCAGCAGGACACGTTCAGGGTGGATGTCATCGTGCCCAACACCACAACTGTTCTTCCTCATCCAGGCACTGAACCAGCCTGCTGCTCTCTTTCAGGCTGAATTCAATCTTCCCCTCTCAGACATGCAACCAGTCATGAGCAAAATTAATTCCTCCAAGTAACTGTGATTGCCAGAAAATGTCCTTACCATTTCTAAATATGGACCCTAACAGCACTGCAGAATCTATTTAACAACCTTAACTAAAATTAATTCAAGAATCACATTTTAATCACTGATAGCAATATGAGATGCAAGTCATTATTGCATTTCACTGCTTTTAAAATCAGATTTTTTTTCATATTTTATTTCTTTAGTCACTCTCAGCAAAGGTCATTTTGTAACAACCTCCCAAAACCCAGAACATGTTGCAAGAATGTTTAGTTTGTCTTGTCTGCCAGAATTCCTTGAGGCCTTTTGTTCAAACTTTTCTTCATTCTTTTAATTTACAAGACTCAAGAGTAGAGCCAAAAGATTTTAAAATTAGACATTTCAGTGATTTTTTTCAACCAATACTTTGAATTTCAGCTTTAGAAGTCAGCATTTCTTTAATTGTTTCCCTTTTTTTTTTGACAAGATGTATAACTGGCAGAAGCTTTGTATTTCAGCACAGAAATTAGGACACGCATTTTCACTGAAGTGCTGATTTCTTTTCATACAGCTACAAGCAAGGAAATCTGTAAACTGCTCTGGGAACCAAATCTGTCATAAAAGGATAGGTTTCATCTGAGATTATACAGGGAGAACAAAGCATTTTTCCCACTGATAGTATCTACACAACAGGGCACAAGATGTTGCTTTTGAAATGCCAAATATTTTGGGTGTGGGTTTGTTGTTTGGGGTTTTTTTAATTAGAACCAGCTTAATGACCTTCTAAGACTCAAATGCAGCCTCTTGAAAAATTCAAGTTTCTCAGCTGAATTTTTGTAATCTATGTGATGTTCACTGCTACTTGAAGGTTGACCATAAGTGTTGCTCAGCTCACTTATATTAGGAAAGCTCAGTTGGAAGCACCAGAACACAGCCCATTGCCATCAAGGACAGGACCTGGCTTTTCACTCTCTTCCACAAGCTTTCTGGGACCTATAAAAAAACAGATATTATCTTACCATTATGCTATGACAAAGGCATTCATGCAGGGCATCCACTTCAAGTAGAACTAAGGCAGTCTGGAAATGTCCTGAGGAAAGCAGATCTTGTGAAATTTATATTCTGGTTTCCTGGTAAAGTTTATATCCCATGTTCTACAGCCAAGAACTTTGGGAAAAGTCATGGTATTTCAAGGTTTGCATGCTTTTTAGTGTTTGGCCTCTAAATATTTTGAGGATCACCCCAAATATTTTACACGCTAAATATATTCAGTCATGTTGCTTAAGAAGGAAGCTCAGTTTTCAGAAAATGCTGTATGATTTTGGGTGGTACCTGGGCAGCACACAGAAGCATCAGTCTCATTGACATAAGCAGAAACATCAGTCAAGGTCTGGGTCATTCCTGGCACACCACCTTTCACAGCTGTTACAGTGGTGACTTTGTCTTGCACTCTGTCAGGGTCCATATATCCTAAGGACTCCTCATCCCCCAGAATAGTGTCTAACACAGTAAATATTCTACATCATTCTTAATGGAAGATTTTCCATCCTCTTTGATCATCTCTTCTGCTTTATTTCTCTTCCAGACCAAACTATTAAAACAAAACTAAACAAAACGGCAAATTAGGTAATTTCCAACTTTCTCTTGCCTCCTCAAGATAGCAGCTTTTGTAGACCATCTCAAGTTCTCCACAGTTCTTCATGTGGCATTCCCAAAAATTTGCTCTTCTGTTTCTTGTTAGATTTTTCTATTGAATAAGAAGCCAGATTACCTTTCTCCATCTGTGCCTAAGTGCTGTACTGGATGTATTTCTTCCTTGACTACCTGAGCTCAGCATGGCTAGCAGAGTGCTTGCACACTAGCCAACTGTCCTCTGAGAAGGGTGTGGAGTTTATACCATTCATGAATGGATGTGACAATTATTGCAAAAAGATGAACAACATTCTGCAACTATTTGTCTGATGCAGACTAATGTATTAAAGGTACTCACTATCTGATGTTTCTAAAAGGAATGGCATTGGCTTTCATTTACCAGAGCTTATGACCAAAGGGGTAGGCTATTTCATGACTATAATTGTTATGAACAAGTTATACTTGTTTCTTTTCTCGTTTTGTTCTCAGTCCAATCCTGTCCAGTGCTTTGGGATCCATCCTCAGTAAATGGGACCTTCCTGTTTTCACTCTGCCCTTCAATATTGCGGTGACTTTTTACTTGGCAGCCACAGGACACTACAACCCCTTCTTCCCTACAACTCTCATCAAGCCTGTAACATCAGTGCCCAATATCACCTGGTCTGCAATCAATGTGCCACTGGTAAGCTTCACTCCAACAAGTTTATGCTATTTCATTAAAAAGGTGAGCATGAAGGCATTTGGCTTGGAATAACAATTTCACAGGGGCAGAGCAGCTATATGATATGTACAGCCAGTAGCATTTCACAGAAATACATGGCTCAGTTCAGTCTGTAGAGGACAGTGCTGTAAAAACCCCAGGGAAAGTCCTGGCTGATCCAGCAGAAAGGCTGATCGAGCCTGAGGGAAAAGAGCTGCTGAACCTCTCACTTCATCTAAAGTTGGACTGCCCCAAAACAAGTCTTCAGTGCTGTCAGTACAGAAGCACATCTGGATATGCACTCTGACTGTCCAGATGTGGTTAAAAGAACATCAGCAATACAGTGTGACAATATGAAAAGATAGAAGAAACATCAGGGTACCCAAGGGACAGAAACTCATTTATACCCATTGCCCTCAGGTCTAGCTCTAGCTCTGGAGGATCATCTTCCCAAAGCAGCATAAGGGTGGCTGATATGCTTCATATAATATATAATAAACTCACATTGACCAGGCCCACCATATTATTATTGCCTAGGAAGGTTACCATTTTTCGCCCTCAGTAAAGTCACAAGAAAAAAAAAACAACAACAAAAAACACACACCCATCCTCCTTATTACCATCTCAAAAGAGATAAAAGTCCATCTTGGACTGATGAAGTTCAAACCAAACAGTGAACTAACTCTGGTTTGAAGGGCATGAGTGTCCACATTTACCCACCAGCCCCACACAGAACCAGGGTTGCTTCCTTCCTTTCTAACCAATAGCTTGGACAAAGTAACTGTCGTGTCCTTTTGAGTACAGAAATACAATAACATGTCCTTTTCTACTGGCTGCTGCAGCTCTTGCAGTCCATCCCAGTCGGTGTTGGTCAAGTGTATGGTTGTGAAAACCCCTGGACTGGAGGCATCTTCCTTGTTGCTTTATGTATTTCCTCCCCACTTATTTGTTTACATGCTGCAATTGGATCAACAGTGGGGATGTTTGCAGGTAAGAAATATTTAACAAAGTAATTTTTTAAGTAGGATATCTTGACACTAGCCATTAAATGACTCTGCCCAGACTTTAGAGTTACATGGGCTTGGCTGTACTTGGAACAACACTCCCATTTTTGAAACTGTCTCTAAATTTGGAAGGTCTTACTGAAGGGCACACAACATGGTGAAGGAAGTCCAGAAGCAGATTTTCTTTAAGCTTTGAATTTGTTATTAGATTTGTAGCTCAGGCAGGTGGTTTGTTCCACCTGGCTTAACCCTCCTACCATTGGATGTGATGAATCCCATGGAGATGATGATAAAGAAACCCAGAGGAACAGTTTCAGAACTGATCTCTTTCCACCACAAGTGTTTTAAATTACCACCGCATGCAGATGTCTACCTCAGAGATAAGCAGTCAATGAAAAGAAACAAACTTTTCTGGGGTGCAGTTTATTCTGTCCTGATGTGAAATTCTATCCAGATTTGTAAAAATAGCTAAATGAATGCCACACAAAACGGCCTATCTCTGGACTAACCAGAGAAACAATCTTCTGACCCTTGAAGACAGACAAGATCAATGCCACTTATGTGATGAATTGTAATAACAAAATATGATGGAATAAGTGTAGTCTGAGACAACAACCTTGGAAAAGGCCCAGTCATCCAACGATAAGTTTTCCGTGCTTTGAAGCACTTTGTACAAAATGTGAGCTGCCTTATATTTGTTTTTTTAAACAAAACTATCCACAATTTGCATGGTTAAGAGCATTTGGCAAGTTTTGTACAGGTTTGATTTAATCTAGAAGGAAAAAGTCGGGGGAAATTATCTGGGGATAAGCATGGTGATGAAACAGAAGACAAATGAGGACATTATAGCAGGAAATGTATTAATCTTAAGAGTGACATGAAGGTGGCATGTGCACTACGTATTGTGCTCTTCTTCTTACTGGTACCCCTGAAGCCTCTGAGAAATCCTGCAGAAATACGTACGAGGTCATGTCTGGAGCAGACCCTCAGCTCCCAGCCCAGTGGAGAATTTTCACAGCAATGATAGAGTGACCACATCTAGTATCTAGACCACATCTAGCAAAGGTCACTAGGAAGAGATGGAAAACCCTGCTTACTCCCACAAAAGACACTCAACTATGCCTCTGATATTCAAGATCAGAGTACGTATGAGGTTTAAACCATACATGTGAGCACCAGTTTCTGCAAGAAGGACACCCAGGTGAGAAGGTCCTCCTACACTCTGGCTGGATCTTCCATCTGGTCATCTGGGGGACCAACTACAACATACTCAGTGCATACATAGAAATTTTTGCCTGAAAGAAACCTTTGACACTGGGACAAATTCCAACCCTAGGGACATTATCAGAACTCCAAAATAATGAGCTTCATTTGATTACATTTGTCTGCATGTGCATGTTATGCAAGTGTGAACACGGTTAAATTTGTCTAGATGTCATAGGGAAGAGACAACAGATTCCCTGCAAGTGACAGGTCCTCCTGCAGATATCTCTCATACTTGGTCTCACAGTCTTGCCTTTTGTCTTGCAGCACTGAGCATTGCATCACCGTTTGATAGCATCTACCTTGGATTACACAATTACAACTGTGCACTCGCGTGCATTGCAATTGGGGGCATGTTCTATGCCCTGACCTGGCAGACTCATTTGCTGTCACTTGCCTGCGGTATGTATCTTTTACATAAAGGGAAGACAAAAAATTTATGCTGCCAGACAGTCTATGAGTAGTACAGGTTTAGAATTAACTACCACTCTTTAACAAATTAGCAACTCAATAGATTCATAGAAGCAGTCTTTTCATAACTATATGTATCGTTAGAGGAAGTGTGTCATAAGAAGACAGCTGATGCACAAAGTCAGTTTAAAATCCATCTACCCAAAGACCCCATCTACAACAGCAACCATAACCAGATGGTATGGGAAGAGTTTAAGAAAAGAAACTTCCCATTTAAGAAATTCTTGTGAAGATTCACCCGGCCTCCAATCATTTGCATTTCAGTCATTTTCCATCCTGAGCAGTTTCTGGATTTCTCAGTAGCTTTTCCTTCCTTGACTTTTTCCTTGGGTGCCTGACCTTAGCTCCTGTTTTGACACCTCTGACATCCTGGGGCATGGCAGCCTGCTGCCAACTACTTGTGGTTTGAAGCCACAGGACAGAGAATTTCTGCAGTCCCACACTGGTGAATTTCTGCAATCCCCCACCACATACAGGTCACATTGGGCCAATTAAAAAGAAATTAAAGACAAAAGAAATCCCACCATCACGTCCTCTTGATAAAATCACGTTCTTCATTGATCATCCATCCCTACAATGCAAATAGGACCAAATGTACTTCATTTAAACTAACCATTGAATTCTAACATTAATCCTCATATCAGGTAGCTGAGAAGATATTTTACTGTGCATTTGGACAAGATTACTATTTCTGATATTTTTTTCTTGAGAGATGAACAATATTTTCCTCATCTTGAGCTGTCTTTGGTCTTCTTTTTTCAGCATTATTTTGTGCCTACTCTGGAGCAGCTCTTGCTAATGCCCTATCTGTGGTAAGTTGGAGGAAGGGAGGTGGAAGTTTTTTGTTTGTTTGGAAGTGTTCAAGGCCAGGTTGGATGGGGCTTTGGGCAACGTGGTCTAGTGGAGGGTGTCCCTGCCTGCAGCAGGGATGTTGGAACTAGATGATCTTTGAGGTCTCTTCCAACCCAAATCATTCTATGATTCTATGATTCTATGATTCTAACTGTATTTTGATTTGTTACAATATAGTGTTACGGAAATGCCTCAAAATTCTCCATGTCAAATTTTGACAGTGTTGAAATGAGCATGCTGCAGCCAATGGCAGGTCTTGTAAAATAATAAGATTTCAAAGACCTTTGGAGCATGTTATCCACAGTGAGATTGTGCATGGATATGTGAATTCCAGCAACAGCATATGGTTTGAGATGCAACACTTAGTTACAGGCAATATTTCTGAACAATTCCTAATGGTCTAATTTTTTCCTTACTGCTTCTGAGGTCTTTCTCCCACCCTTCCCACAGATATTACTTAAGTTTGATCTGGATATGAGAACTAAAAAGGGAAGGAGTTTGTTCTCTTAAATACAAAATTGTTGTATCTTGACAGATCAAGAAAGAGGTGAAGCCAGAAATGCCAAGCTTTGTTTCTACTTTAAGATCTGAGAGATTAAAGCAAAACCATATTTTAATAAATTTGATTTAGTAACTTAAAAGAAAAAAAAATTAGAACTAGCAGATTCATGCATTAAACGCATTCATCTGGCATACATTCAGTACCGTGTAGGTCCCTGCAGAGGGGCTGCTTTTTTAAGCACACCTGCTTTTGGGATGTATCAGAAAAGAAAAGAACACTTACTTTTTCTCCTAGTGATCTTGGTTTTGGCAGAACCCAATTCAGGTCAAGAGGTGGGATCAGAGAGGAGGACTGAGGGTTGGATGCAATGCCAACAATCCATGGGCATTGAGGACACTGAATACATGTGAATAGTACTCTCAGTCCATGACATTTTACAGGACAGTGAGGGCAGTTTCAGCTAATTTATTGGAGAATTTAAAAGTCTATGTGTGAGCTGGGTGTCTTGGCTTTCACTACAGTCATTGGAGCTCAGAAGCCTGATTCAGTTGCTTCAGTATTGGTGCCAAGTGCCAATTGGTGCCATTCTGGTCAACAGCTGCGTCTGAAAGGGCTGAGGTTTCTAATGCGGGATGCCTTGTATAGCCCCATACATTTCAGATAAACTAGATACCTCTGTGTGAGCAGCTGAATTGGCATTTGGTAGCAGAGGAACTTCCCAGATCTCCAGTGACCAGCAGGAACCTAGCTCACATGTAGCCTTGCCATGTAGCCACCTGCATCTGGGGCATCCTCCTCTGCATCTGAATGGGGAAATCCTGTATGGGGGGCTTCAGGAAGGCATGTCATATGTCACACAGTCCTCAGGGTAAAGCACAGGCTCTCCCAGCTTCTCAAATGCAAGAATTTAGCAACAGGCAGAAGTAAGCAGAGGGAACATGCAAAAAGAGGTACCAAAATGCACCTGTCTGTCTGTCCTTCCTCCTCCCAGCTTGGGCTGCCACTCTGCACCTGGCCTTTTTGCTTCTCTGCACTTCTCTTTTTGCTGATAAATACAGACAACCCAGCCATCTACAAAATCCCCCTCTGCAAAGTCACCTACCCAGAAGCCAACCGGATCTACTACCTGATAACAAAGAGAAGAGCATCAGAGAGCAGGAGAGAAGAGCAGAAAAGAAAGGAGCAGAAACCCTCCGGCGACTCAAAAATAAACACAGGAGGCACCCCCCTGTGTACCCCAAAAAATCACTCCGCTTACTGATTTCACATGTCCACGAGCGTAGTTTTGGGGTGTTTTTTCAGATGCTAGCCAAGCTCACTGCAGCCACAGCCACCATCTTCATCAGCAGTCTGCAGGCTGGGGGTTTGGCATCCCACGCCCCGGGGGAAATACAATTTGCCCTTGAGTTAAGCTTTCCAAAAAGCACTCAGGTAACAGAATAATGGCTGTCTTATCATTCCACATGCTGTTAACTTGAAAGTCACCTCTTATCAATAATAATTACAAGAATAGGCAGAAGAACATTAAAGCTGACGAGAGGCTGTGTTTAATTTCAGACATATAATTTAACAAAATAAATATGCTGAGAAGGCATTGGTATCTAATAATAATAAATAATGTAAGAACTACGTCAAGAACTGCACTTCAAATTAAGAACTTGTATATTTGAAAGTGGAATAAACAGACTGATCTCCTCCTTTCTTGTGTCCCATCAATGTCTAACCCTCTTAATCCCTCTTAACAGCTACAACATACACAGGTAAATATTCTTACAGAGCACACACTATTTTTGGTGCCATCTTCTGACTCCTCATTAAGTGTCAAGACAATGAAGGTATGAAAATATATGCTTTAATCAGATTAGAAAAATGACTAGCTAGCAATGATCAAACATTTTTCTTTTCCTTGCATAATTTTCTGTCTTACAAATAGAAGATCTCTGTCTCCTGCTGA